AGAATAAGGCATGAAAACTAAATGTTTTTCACAGCCATGCCATGTTTATGTCAGAATTCTACCACTTCTTCCTTCCACCTCATTTGAAGGTGATGAAGGACAGAAAACTTACATAGTGCACAAATCTGCTAGGAGTGAGGTATTCAAACCATACTGCAGCAGTCTGCAAACAAATGTATGGACACACTGACCAGGTACGAGTCCTTGGAACTGTCCATTATTGCAATGAGTTGCTTGCTGAGTCCAGTGAACACTGTGGTCTACTGCTTAAAGCATGGGAGAGGGCTCCTGGGTCTGCCACTGACTTGCTGTGTGGCCTTGGGAAAATCACTTAAACTCTGTGCCTCAGCTTCCTCATCTGAAAAATAGGGATAATAATACTTACTTATCTACCTTCCTCACCGGGCTGCTCTGTACCATAATTAATATTTACACAGCATTTCAGAACTGTAAAGCACTACAGAAGTGCTAAGTCATTCAATTTCGGAAGTAGGCAGTTTACTCATGTGAAGAGATAATAATAAGAAACAACAGATTGATAAAAATCAACAATTAGGCATAAAATGTTTTTTTGACATCAAACCAACGTATATTAGTACCTTGTAATAGTTTTACAGTGCACAACTTTGACAATTTAACTGGACAAAGCTTACATAAAAATAAATATATTGGGCTTGCTTTCTGTTGGCCTAATTCAATAGCAATGCTACGGAAGCCAGTGGAATTACATTTCTCTGAAGCTGTAATCAGAGCACAATAAACTTGTCATATATTTATAAACAACCTAACATTTCCCTCTGTTTTTAGTTATATTTGTTAATATTTTATGGGTTTATATAGTTATCACACAAAGGTTTACCTAAAATATAGGTAAACAAAAACTATTTCTCTAAAGAAATAAAATATCAGCAAACACACAGAAGAAATAACATATCTGGGATAGAAGAGTAAGAAAAAGCTGAGGCTTTTACATGGAAACCACAAGCTCCTTAGAGACCAGGGCTCAGCAACTCTACTCAGTCCAGGCTTCCACCTCTTTCATTTTCCAAATGAATGCTGAAATGACCTTCACCACACAGCAGCATCCGCTGCACATATTTCACAGAAAAATCTATTTTAATGAAAGAGTCTTATAAATACAGTTGTTGCTATTTTTGTCTCTTTGTACTAGAAGTTTAAACATAGTAGTGAGTATAGAAAAGCAGATAGTAGAGTCATCCTCTCCATCCTTTGCAGTGCCTCCACACATTGTAACATTGAAACACGTATGTTAAGTTGAACAAAATTAAAAGGAAATAAACTGTCTTCAAAGACATTTGGCTTCTACCTTTTGGTATGCAGTCATAAAGAAAGAAGGTCACCATAAGTGGTAGGAGTACTGATTTTCAACCCTTAGATCAACAACCTGCTTATCCGTATATAAAGCGAGGCTGCAGCTGTTGCCAGGAATTGTAAGTGGATTAGTTAGAAGGAATATAAAGGCCCATGGTTTAGAAACCAAAACCAAACATCTAAAGTGCCCTTTCCACCCATGTATTGATAAAGCTCACTACCCAGGATACTCCAAAGCTAGATAAATTACCTCCTGGAAAGCTTCCCAAATTGACCCTGTTTAGGTCTGATACAGCCCTAACCATGACTCATAACATGTTTCAGAGAAGTTGATCCTTAAACCTGTCACCTCCCAGAACTGTGCACTGCCCTTCCACACCTCAGATCAATTTAATTAACAGAGAAACTACACATTTAGAAAAGCTGAGAAACATCATTTTATGACAGATGTTTCAGTCTTTTTAGTTATAACTCTTATAAACTGCCTATGCTTTCATCATGTGGTAGATGATTGAGTGGAAAGAAGAGGAAAGTAAGGTGGGTCAAAGGTGGGTCTGTACAAAGGGGGATGACACATGTTTTTAAATACTTATGTGCTAACGTAGACATATACACTCATAAAACCAGTATATTTCTGGATGATGGAATTAGGACATATTTCTCATCTTCTAGATATCAAGAAGGTAGATTAAATTCTAGGTGACAATACACAGATTTGAAGTTACCTATACATTTATTATTTACTGAATATCATCTATGCTGGTCACTACAGTAAATGAAAGAATAGTATAACAATAAATCTACACTAGGAAATAGGAAATTGTTAGGACAATAAGAAATTATTAAATAGTTGCAATAAATATGTCTTGCTGTCTTTCCCTTGGTAGGTATTCTGCTCCACTGGTATGATATTTGGTGCTAATATATTTCAAATAGTTGAATTAAAATGGGTAACACTAAAATTTTTATTATACATGGAAAACTATAAATAATTTCTTTTCTTAATCCTTCTTTCTACCTAATTTTCTTCATACTTGGCTACTTTTATTTTCTGTCTCTGATA